GCTTTTTTCCCTTAATAAATGAAATTATCATTTAAAAACTGCATTTTGTATTTACTTGCATTATCTTTGTGTAATATTAAAATTTGTTTGACGATCTGAATCTTTTAAGTGTGACAAATATGCAAAAAATGAAGAAGAAAAAAACCAGAAAGGGGGCAAAACACTTTTCACGGCCCTGTATATATATATATATATATATACACCATTATATATCATTATATATATATATATATATATACCATTATATATCATTATATATATATCATTATAATTAATTTATATACATATAATAAAATATAACATATATGCTTGTGTACCCTTCTCTTAACTTTAGTTCCAGCAATGCTTGAAAGTGAGAGCATTCCTGGTCTGGCTGGATCATCAGAGTGCCGGTCATAAGCGTGCGGGATCGGCCCCCCGACCTCCAGCCAGTACAGAGGGAGCGACTATGTCAGCGGTCCTGAGGGAACTGTCAGCGCTGCACACAGCCCTGTCCCGTCAGGATCTGCCCTCGGCCCTGCAGGAGCAAGCCTTCCATCAGCTCATGTAGGCTACCTGCTGGCCGCCTCCACCCTCAACAGCCTGCTGCTGCGCAAAGACATGTGCTGCTGGAACCGCGGCCTGCAGATCAGGTCAGAACTGCTCTCGCTTCGGTTACTTACACATCTGCTTGAGTGCCTTGAACTGAATAGTTACATCTGTATAGTCTAGGTATAATGTGAGTTTACTGGAGGAGTGGCTGCGCAGTCGTTGGCTGCAGACAGGGGGCGCTGTGACCGCGCTGGAGCCACTCATACAAGCAGCACAGCTTCTTCAAATGAGCAAGAAGACTGAAGCTGATGGACAAGCCATGGTCCAAGCCTGCAATGAACTGTCCAACCAGCAGGTGGCGCACCTGTTATAAAAGTTACATGTCAGGCAAAATAAAATCACATTTTTTCTTGATAAATATTATTTTTATTATAAACAAAATTGATTTTTAAATGTTTTTTTTTTTACATTATATAAATTGTGTATATATAATTTAATGTATTAATTTAATTATATTGAATATAATTATATTTGTATACTAGAATACATTTTTGCCTTGGCAAACCTCAAGTTTATAATATATATTATATAATTTATAACCTTCATTATAATATATTTATAGACATATATAATAATATAATATGCACAGCTTGTAGAAAAATACAATTTATTTAACAATTTATTTACAATTAATTTATTTTAAATATACACATTTGTAATTTTACTTTAACAACAAATTAAATATAATATAAATAAAATTATATATAAATTGTGTATATATATTTATATGTAAATTTATTATTATTAAATTATATTGATGTTTTTTGTTTGTGTAGAATTATATATAACATTATATAAATTGTATATATATATATATATATATATAATTTAATATGTTTGAATTCAATAATATTGAATGTAATTGGATACTAGAATCAAATTTATAAATCTTAGTTTATAACATATAAGATTTATAACTTTCATTATAATATATTTATACACAATGTATTATAATATAAAATATAATATAATATACTTACATGAAAATACAATATACAAATATAAAAAAACAACTAAATTAATTTATTTTAAATACACACATTTGTAAATTTATTTTCTGTTAACATTATTATAATTAAATAATATAGATAGAATTATGTATCATTTGTGTATATATAATTATGTAAATGTATTATAGTAAAATTATTATTATTATATACACATATATAGGTGTGTGTATGTATATGTACGAAATTTAATTTCAATTTTAATTTCAATACATGTTCAATATATATGATAAATTATATATACACAATTTTTTGTTGGCATGCTAATTGTATTTGCATTTTAAATGTGTTGCAGGTGGTGAAGATTTTAAGCCTCTATACACTGCAGAGTGACCTTGAGGAGAGAGTAACGCTCAATTTCATCCCTTTAGTGCTGCAGGTACGAGCAAAGCATTAGATTCTAAAACAATATTATAGCAGGCTTTAGTCCAGCAGTGACAGCGGCTTTCCCAGGGGCTGCTGAAGGGGTGTTCTGAGGGGCAACCTCCGCAGCTTCTGATGGATGTCAGACGGGTATTCCCCGTCACGTTCCCTTATCTGCCTCCACCACAAGTCAGTGCGGCCCAGCTGGAAATCCCAGAGTCCCTCAAGATCTCCTTCCTACGCAGTCTGAATGTGGGTGTTCCTTTGCCTCCTGAAATGCTTTTTTGCCTTTGTTGCCTTACAACATCACTTTAAAGGCTGCTTTCACACCTGTAGATCGATTGCTTTGTTCCGAAACAGGGATTACAATTATTACAATGTTGCTTTTTATTCTTGGTGCGGTTCGCTTTCACACGGCAAAGTTTCTAAACGGACCAAATTTGTTAATACAAGTCATGCGTGAGTAAACTGTTCTCTCATTGGTCAAAGTTCCACCGTTTATTTTCCGGGATTCCACTTAGCTGTCACGGCTGTCATCCGTCAGGATGGAACGACAACAGCTTTTTTTTTTTTGTAGCTGTCCTTATATTAATCTATCATTTTGAGCAGGAGTCCAGGATTCATCGGGAAAACATTTTTAAAATGCACCTACTAGGAAGAAGAGCAATAAGACGGCATTATAAAATGAAAAAGTGCGCTTTTTTATTTTGAATGGCGAAGACCTGCTCACCCACAGACAATTACAGGTTCATTTTGAAGTATTAGCAAAACAACAAAACTAATGCTTTTCACGGAACTTACGTAATTACCCATTATACATTGTGATATAGCGTGGTTCGTTGGTCCGTTGGATCGGATTGCTTTCTCACTACAACCGAACCGCTCCAGAGTTCGTTTTCAATCGAGCCGAGACCACCTCGTTCAGGCGATCTCGGACCGGTTGTTTTGATGCAGATCCGAGCGTGATTGCCGTGTTCACATATGCCCAAACGACCCGAGCTAAGGGGGGAAACGCGCCAGGTTCCGAAACGACGAGCCAGGTGTGAAAGCACCCCGTTATCTGGGCATTTTGTGTTCGGCATGCTAATTTTAGGCACATTTTAAATGCATAATTATGTTAGCTTGAAAAATCCAAGAATTTCTCCCTCCTTTAAAAACACAAATTTGAAATGTAAAGATTTTAAACGTACATGTCAGGCCAAATAAAATAAAATTTTGCCTTGATGAACCTTCCTCGTTAAAAAAAAAAAGAATTTAAACTTTATTTAAAAAAATATATATATAATTTGTCATTTAAAAAATATATATCTAAATATATAAAATATAAACCGTATTTAACAGAACCCAACAAAAAATCCATTACACATTGCATTTTTTAAACCATTTATTGGAAGTAGAAACAAACCAAGGCTGGCATCTGTGTTACCTCCACCCCCGATAAGAACGATCATATTTAGAAAAACGAAAATTAGAAACATCTTAGTATAAAAAAATCTCTCATGCTAGTAACTCTGTACCACTACACATCAGTAATACATATTTATATATTCACAAGCCTTCCAAAAATAGAAAATAATACCCAAATATCAAAATAAAAGACAAATCAAGACAACAATTGAATATCACATCAAAGATACATGCTGGCACAAAGAAGAATCTTTCCCAACATGCACTGCTTCTTATATACAGGCTGTTTGGGTGCATGTCGAGTTATTGGGATCCGTGTGCACTTGTGTCTGCGTGTGCTTTGCCTCATACTACATGCTCACGACTGTATCCTGTAATATCATTATTCACAAACAGCAACACACAGCTTTAATATTTGAAATCCTACCATCCAAATGAAAGTATGTTCTTGCTACAGATTCTATTTTCCACTCTGCAGTCAATTCAACATTCATTAATGCCATTTCCTGTGGCGGAACCCTAGTGTTCGATATCACAACACTGAACATAAAAGGATTCAGTCTGTTAAACAAAACAACAGCGAAGTTTGCAGCTGCGGTTCGCGATGTAAACAAGCCAAGGCTGTTGATCGCTTCGAACTGATAGAACAGATGCATAGACTATTTTCAGAGAAATAATACAGGGAAATAGCTGTAGCGCAAGGTGCTTCATTGCTAAGTCCAACAAGCGACTCTTATCTAGATAACTTCACCTCAGATTTTTGTAAGTAGATCCATAGCACGGTTTAGCGCAGTACAGCAGAGAATGAATGGACATACAGTGTTGAACCCACATTATAGAGCATATCTCTTGTGCTTTTCTAATATGGTGGATGGTTTGCCAGTAAAATGGCAGGATTCATCAGCGGTTACTATGGCAACTCTATAGGAGCGGTTCTCAATGGCTGTGATTCTTTTGAGGTGAGAAACCAGTGAGTGGGGGAAAAAGTCCCATTTTGCATGGAATAATCTGAAGCGGTATGACATTTAAACGTGACGTTATAAAGTGAAATTTCACTGAAACAGGCAGCTCTGGTGTCTAATACAAGCAGTGTTTGTCAATCTATACATCGTATATAAACCGTAGTGCCTAATCATACCGGCTAAACCGCACTCGTACTTGAACGGATCGGAAAACACACAAAGACAGGACAGAGGTGGCCCTGTGATTGAATCTAGATGTGCGAAGCATCTAAGCATCTTGTATTTGTACAATAAGTAGAATTTGTAGGATTTCCTGCAAGTGGCGCCCCCTACAAATAATTTCACACATTTTCTTACTACATGAAAAAGCAAGCACTCTGCTTTCAGAGGTGTATTTGGTTGTAGGTCTGTTTTTCGTCATTTTCTTGTGCTTCTAAACGATTGCATAACATTAAAGTCTGACCCATAGGGGGTTTTGGTCCCTATTAAGGAGGTTAAGGGGTGAAATGGTTGTACGTAGTGGACAAACGAGACCCTGACATTAAGGCACCCTTCGAAGGGTGCAGGAATGATTGACAAAAGGCCGCACGAAAGAGGTTTGACATCATTACAGATCGCTGAATATGGAAGAAAAAAAAAAAGGGAACAAAAAATCATGGCACAGAGGTGGCCCTGTGATTGAATCTAGATGTGCGAAGCATCTAAGCATCTTGTATTTGTACAATAAGTAGAATTTGTAGGATTTCCTGCAAGTGGCGCCCCCTACAAATAATTTCACACATTTTCTTACTACATGAAAAAGCAAGCACTCTGCTTTCAGAGGTGTATTTGGTTGTAGGTCTGTTTTTCGTCATTTTCTTGTGCTTCTAAACGATTGCATAACATTAAAGTCTGACCCATAGGGGGTTTTGGTCCCTATTAAGGAGGTTAAGGGGTGAAATGGTTGTACGTAGTGGACAAACGAGACCCTGACATTAAGGCACCCTTCGAAGGGTGCAGGAATGATTGACAAAAGGCCGCACGAAAGAGGTTTGACATCATTACAGATCGCTGAATATGGAAGAAGAAAAAAAAGGGAACAAAAAATCATGGCGCTGTGTAGCATGTTTACATGCCTTAATCTGGTTTTATTTCACAGATGCGTTTGAGAAAATTTTTTTTTTTAATACTGTATATATTTAATATAACTACTATAATAGTCTTTTATTGTTTTATATATATATATATATATTTTTTTTTTTTCTGGATTTATATCTTGAGACCTGTGCATTGATAGTGATATTTAATGTTTTGAAGAATAAATAGATAAATGTGTTGTATCTTTTGGCAGGTTTTTGTCTTATATGCTTTATAAAAATCAAAGACATCACAAACATCAAGTATTTAAGAGATACAATGTCCTGTGTCTGTTTCATGTGCCAAATTGTGCTTGTTAAACAAGCCCTTCCTGGCAGTGCACTGAATACAAATATATAACTGCTTTGTCACGTAAACGGTTGGTCATTAAAGTGAAGAACCAAGATAAATATGTCTTGTGTATTTTTTTCTATGTGCTAGTGCAACATCTGAACATTAGGGGGCAGTGTTTACGCCAAAGTTACCGTGCCTCGCTAGCTTCTTCCTGGTCTTAGCTCCGCCCCTCCTCAGCAGAGCGCTGGTCGGATTTAAGCTTGACGAATTCTTTCGCGACGTCGTCGTTGTTGCGCTGCGACAGGATTCGTAGTACGGTCAGGCCGGTTTCGTCCATGTGAATGCGTTTACCTAGCGGTAGCCAGCATGCTACGCTACCCCGCGGTGCTACGTCCTTCAGCTGCAGTACCGCCATTCCAACTGTGCGGTCCTCTCGCGCAAAGCAGTAGTCTTTCACGCACACCTGCAGCTCGTAGCACTCCGGACCCACTTCGTTACTCAAGGTGCTTTGAAAAAGAAGCAGGATTATGTTTTATTCAGGAACTGTTGCGTAAAATGTGGTATGCAGAAACTCAAATGCAAGTGCATGTCACTCACAATGTAAAGGTCTCATTGTATTTGGGAGCCCAGCTGTTGTTCTTGGACTTGGTGGCATACTTTCTTTTCTTATCACTGAGATGGGGGCCAATGATGTAGACCTCCACGAAGGGCCGGAAAATTCCAGAAGTCTGCCACCGTAGGTCATTCGCAGCCACCACTAAGAGAAAATATATTGAGTTGTTCAGTTTTCTTCTCTTGCATCCCATTACGCTGCAGAAATGAAGCTACTTGAGCGTCCATTTGGGGTTCCACCACTCTATAAAAACCCTCCACTCTCAGAAGAAAATGGACAAACACGGTACATTTAGAGGTATAACAGCTTGTCAACTGGGACAGTGCCCTCAATGGGTCATCTTTGTACCTTATCTAATCCTAAAAGGTTCATACCACAGTCTTAAGAGTACATATTATGACTCTAAAATGCACTTTTTAGAGGGAGATAAGATCTCCAACCCTGCTCCTGGAGAGCTACTATCCTGCAGACTTCAGTTCCAACCTTGCTTCAATTATTAATTAACCCTGAACACCTTAATTAGCTGGTTCAGGTATGTTTAACTAGGGTTGGAACTGAAATCTGCAGGACGACAGCTCTCCAGGAGCAGGGTTGGAGACCCCTGGTTTAAGGGTACTGCCCCAGCAGTGGCGGACTGGCCATCTGGAGCACCGGGAGTTTTCCCAGTGGGCCGCTGTACAATGTGGGCTGGCCCATCGCGTAAATATATATAAAGAATGAATTATAGCAAATGTACATAGCCTATATCCCTCCATCGGCCCAGACGAATGTCAAACATAATTAATTTAGCGCGCTCCGGCTCAGTGCAGCGGCTCAAAAGAGCTCGTCAATGTCAAAGTGTTTGAAATAGCCAATCAAATCGAAGAAGGCGGGATTTACTGTTCACAGACGCTGAGCTGCGCGCCTCTTGAATGCGAGCTGAGGTAAGATAAGCAGCTAAACATGACGAGACAATTCAGCAATATTTGTCAACTGTTTACGATAAAAAAACGCAACGACATTTACGACGTTTAAATGGCATTTACGTTATTCGTCACAATATAAGATAAGAGTGAATGTTTGTAAATCTCTATCCAGGCTTTCTTCTGTAATTTCACGTGTCTTAAGAAAATGTTTTTAAAAACTTAAACTTAAAATATCATTCATATCAAATCTGAAGACTTTCGTTTTCAAGTGCCATGATTAGGAAAGTGATATATAGGCCTATTATAGCCTAATAAAAATATAATTTGCTATTTAGATCACATGCATTATTTTATATAAACACTGGCGGTCAAATGTTTGAAATAATTAAGACTTTTTATTTATTTATTCATTTATTTATTGAAAGAAGGCTGAATTTCTTTGATAAAAAAAACAGTAAAAATAATAATATTATGAAATATTACACTTAAAATAGTGGTTTTCTATTAAAGATATTTTTAAATGTAGGCTAATTTATTTTTGTGATCAAAGCAGAATTTTCAGCATCATTACTCCAGTCTTCAGTGTCACATGTTTCTTCAGAAATCCTTCTAATATGCCGTTTTGCTGCTTAATTATTATCATTTATTATTTGTGATCAATTATTACTAATGGTTCTTCTATATATATATATATATATATAGATAGCATTTTTATTTCTGTATTGTGTTATATTTTTTATGTTAGTAAGTGGTGTTAAAAATTGCTCTGTGCATAATGAGCTGGTGGGTTTATGGTGTGGTGTGTTGTGGACCGGGTGTGGTGGGCCGCTCTGTGCCAGAAAGTCCAGGGCCACTTTTTAGCCCCAGTGACAAGCTGTTGTACCCCAAAGGTACAATATTTTTACATTTCTTCTGACAGTGTTGAGAGCCTCTAGGCACCCTTTGAGAAAGCGAAGTTCTGCAATGAACTTACAAAATGGAACCCATAATTACATGCATGAACTCTACAGAACGTCAACGGTTCGTCCCATGTTGGAAAGGTTTTGAGGCACTTGACAAGGGTTCCTAGAGGTTTTCCAGAATGTTCCGCCAGTGTGGTGATCTAAGGCAGTGTTTCCCAACCTTTTTTTAGTCGCGGCACCCTTTGGAAATTTTAACAAACTTGTGGCACCCTACAAAATTAATTTTGTCACGATATTTGAATTTCTAACTACCTGAGCGGTGAACTAATTTTCGGCAGCCGAAATTTCGGTGCATCTCTAATTATTGGCGACATCAGAAATGGATATTATATAATAGATGCTTTTTAAAAATATTTTAGCAATTTAAAAATATTAAAAAAGGATTTTTTTACACGGCACCCCTGCTCTCCACAGACGGCACCCCAATTGGGAAACACTGATCTAAGGAACCAAAACGGAGCCTTGCATATGTTTTCATTTTTATAGTGTAGGCTCCCCTTAACATTCTTCTCATTACACTGCGAACCATTTGGGGTTCCTTAGATCAGCACACTTGAAGAATCCTTGGGGAACCTCTAGGCACCCTTTTAAATAGGGAAGTTCTTGAAAGAACTTACAAAATGGAACCCATAAGAACACTAAAAATTGTCATTGGTTTTCTAGAGGGTTCTGCCAGTGTTCCACTCTGAGGAACCCTCATATACCTTTTCATTTTCACAAGCCCCCTTGATATTCCCCCTGCAAAAATTAAGCTACCAAGATTGGCACACAAGGAGAACCTCTAAACCAGAGGTTCTCAACTCTGGCCCTTCAAGTCCACTTTCCAGCAGAGTTTAGCTCCAATCCTAATCAAACACACCTGAACAAATGAATCAAGGTCTTCAGGATTACTAGAATGTTTCAGGAAGCTGAGTCTGAGGTTAGGTTGGAACTAAATTCTGCAGCAAAGAGTTGAGACACCTTTAAAAAAGGTTCTCAAAAGAACTTACAAAATGGAACCTGGAGATTCTTGGAAGAACTTCAGGGTTTTAAAGTCATCAGTAGTTCCTCCAGGAACCCCATTTTAAAGGAAAGACACTGAGGCTTCTTCAAAAGAATTCCACCAGTGACTTTTACCCGACCTGATGAATGCAAACAACAGGCTTCAATTGCACATCAAGAAACAATACGTACCCTTCACTGTGACTTTGTGCTCTCCAGTATTTGGATGAGTGAAGATCTCCACATGGATAGACACCTCTCCAACTGCATCATCAACACCAGTACCTGCAGACAAGACGAGACAAGTCAAGACTCCATATCCGGTCTGGCAGGATACTTTGCATCGGTATGGCTCAAAGGAACTTCCAATCACTTCCTCTATGAATTCAGTTCCCGCAGAGTCATACAGAGGCAATGTATGCTTTAAACTGATTGGATGACAAAGACGTTTAAACAGTAATGGTGTTGAACCTGGCTTGAGAGATCATTAATAATATGAAGAGATTTTCAGGTTGGTCTTCCATGTTGGAACACTTCTTAAATACAAATTCAGAGCACATTGTATTGATTGAGTTCAAATGTGAATTTCAGTTGCACAGAATTTTAAATGAGCTAACAGCCGCTAATTTCCATAAGGGCTAATATACACAATTCAAAAAGCAGTGAGCTGAACAAATTTGACCTTACTTAATTGGGGTGATACATTAATGAACTTTTAAAAATCGTATAGCACTGCGCAGGATGCAAATAAGCTCTGAAAATGACTGAACAAGTGATCCTTGCAACACATCTCGAATCTGAATTTGTGAGGCTTGTTTAGGCACAAAATTGGGTACACTTTATTCCGGTGTCCGTGTACATCGCTAACAGCTTTTTACAGCTAGCAAGCTAACAAAAATAGCAAGTTCGCAAACTCATGTCTACATAAAATGTCAACAAGCTGAAATAATCAATGAAATTAGCTCACAATACACAGACAACCAAAATAAAGTAATGCCTCACAGGATTCTTTTGCAACAAAGTGTTTACGATACAAAGAGAAGTGTGCTTCCTCAGATTATCATGAGTGTACCATCTGCACACATGCAGTGTGGTCACACTTCATTTCTGGTGTTTCATGAAGGGTTTATAACCATGATGGGGAGGGGGAGAGCAGTCCCATTGGTCCAGTCATTCATAGGAAGGAGAAGACAAGGAGAACATCTGATATTGTCTTTCACTTGGTTTTAAATGCAGGCAGGTACATGCGGAAAACCACATCCATTCCCACACATCTCCATTCACACTAGAGTCCTTTGTCCTAAAGTTAGGATGATATTCACGAACAAATCTTATGCATTTATGATTTAAAATTATTCAAACACCTTTGAATAATGATGCCTCCAATGAAGTCGCATAGCTAAATGTGAATTAAATGGCTAGATCTTTCCACAGAATCTAGGTCAGCTGCAATCAAATAATAATTAAAAAAATAGATTCCTTCCTTTCGGCATCTGTTATATGTGTGCGCTTGTCAGAGAAACAGGCTGATAATGCAGTTTCCTCAGAGCAGAACCGTCTGAGCAAGCAGGGATTTGAAAGTGCTTGAACTAACGGTAATGCTGACGGCTGACGACGTAGCACTTTATGATTACTCCTAACCAAAGAGCATCTGGGTAAATGTCACGAAACCTGTCAAGAAATGTCCAGGTCATATTTCACCACTAAAGTCAACAAAACAGTAATAAAGTGTGT